CAAAGCCGAGTAACATTATAGACACCATGTACACAATGCCCAAAGGCAATAACAACAGCAACAATGGCTGACAGCTATGGTGTGTTTACTCAGTAAGGGCGAAATTAGACTTTGGGGTCAGCCTGACACCTCAAGTGGAGCTGTGGTCACCTCGATTTCCGGACCCCGTGCCTGGAACCAAACAGCGACGGCCTGAATGCTGCAGCTCCCAGCCCTTGTCACAGGCTCCCCCTTGATCCACACCCCTTGTCTGTCCCAGGTCATACGACTTCTGGCCTCAGGAACTAGAAGGGCCCTGTGTCTGCATGCCAGGCTCTCCATCCCCCTGCAGCCTCCCAGGGGCCTCTGGGAAAGGAGCTCAGGAGATCTAAGCTGAGGGCAATTGTCTGCTCTGGGGAGCCCACTCAGCATCGGCACGGGGCTCCCTAACTAGGCGTGTGTCCTAGACACCCCAGGAGTCCCACTGGGCCTCCCAGTTCCCTGCTTGTGCAGGAGGGCTTGGCTTCCATTGGGTCATTCTCAACTCTGCCCATAGGCTGCCCTGTGGGAGGAAAGCAGTAATGGGTGGGGAAAGGGGGAGATGATGGGAATGGCAGAAAGGAGGAAGAGCTGGCCAGGTTGGCAAGGGGACACCTCCCCACCCCACCAGAATATTTCTACTGATCAGCGAACCTGCAGATATTTGGGGACAGATTTCTCCAGGCAGCAGGAACACCAAGTACAAAGGCCCTGAGGTTGGACCATCACTACAGTGGGCAAGGGGGACAGAGAGGCCACAGGGGACTGTTGTGTGCAGTCTTACAAATCAAGGTTCTACTGACCTGTTTCATGTTTTGGGGCTTCCCAGTGAATTTCAGTTTAGGAAAGTGTACTGGTAGGGGACCCCCTTAGGGGTCTCTTCCCCTTGGAGGCCGTGCTCCCAGTGCTGGGATTCGAGTGTTGGCCCCACCTCTGGAGTTTTCGAGAGCAGGCTGGAGTGGCTTTGGGAACATGTTTGCCTGGGAAAGGCCTTTCAAAAACGAGGTCCGGGTGCCAAGTCTCCCAACTTCAGTGGGCTTCTCTCTCTTCCTGTTGTTTGTAATGACAGTTTTTGGTTAGTGACTGGAACTTTGCAGCTTTGGCTGTCCAGTCAGACATGCCGTTTAAGATACTTCTAACCAATGGGCAGGTAAAGATGGGTCCTCTGAGCAGTGAGCAGGAGGTACTGGAGGGGTAGATCCCCCCAGAATCCTCCTCTACATATAAGAAGGAGATGTCTCTGAACGGAGGCCTTATGAAGCTCAAAGAAGATGTCAGGACAAGATACGTTCCTGGTGATGAAGCCTGAGGACCCACACCTAGGTTACAAGTGGACCACAGCCCCATTGGGTCCTTCTTGCAGGCCCAAGACCTCTGTGTCCCTTCCTATTCCACTGCCGTCACCATCTTGCAACCTGGGACTCTCTGGGCTGGCTTCCAAATGACAGGTAGGCGTCCTTTACTTCCTTTTTCCTGATGTCTCCTGAACAAAAGCTCACAAGCCCTTTTTGTCTTTAGATCTTTCCTGATAACCCCTGTGGGGATCTGGGGATTGGAAGCGGGAGCCAAAACAACAGAAATGGGGGAAGTTCTGTGGTTCAGAAAGTCTTACTTGGTTTTCAAGAAGAATGTTCTTGGTCTGAGCTAAGACACAGATGGGGCTTGCTCCATGGCCTCGGCAGGGTGTCTCCCTGCCCTGATTCTCACACAAGTGGGGAAGCCTCTTCTTCGCTCTCACAAAGTCTTCCCGCTCTTGCTTGCCTGGCTGACTCCTGCTTATACTGAGAAGCTCTGAGAAGCTGCCTCCACCATCTGATTTAGACACGTTTCCTGTATGTTTCCATAGTAACTTCTATTAATACCACTTTATGTCATGAGGGCAGTGGTGGTTCAGTGGTAGAATTCTCACCTTCCATGTGGGAGACCTGGGTTTGATTCCCGATCAATGCACCTCAAGCGCAGCCACCACCCATCTGTCACTGGAGACTTGCATGTTACTATGATGCTGAAGAGGTTTCAGTGGAGCTTTCAGACTAAGACTGACTGGGAGGAAAGGCTTGAAGATCTAACTGCAAAAATCCACCAGTGAAAACCCTATAGATTACAACGGTTTGATTCTGTTGTGTATGGGGTCACCATGAGCCAGGGGCTGACTTGATGGCAGCTAACAACAGCAACAGCAACGACAACCCCATGTTGTAACTGTCACCATGCAGGTCTGTCTCTAAGACTAGGCCGCTGTGGAGAAAGGACACTTTTTACTCCCTTCTGCCTTATGAATATTCACTATTCTTGCCACCACTTTCCCCTGCTGCGATCAAGGCAGACATTACTAATCTATCATGGTGATCCCACGATAGATGATCCAGTTTCATAATCATTCTCCACCCAGCTCTCCAGAAACCAAATGACTGGAATCCCCTTATGAGAGGAACCCACAGTGTTGTTCTGGTCTCAGGGCACTCCCAGGCAGATGTGTTTTCTTGTTCTCTTTTCACTCTTTAACATTTAGCATTTGTCAGACTGACCATAAGAGAATGAAAAGCAACGAGCCTCTGAAGAGGAACTGGGGAACAATAGGAAGAGTTGTAGGATTAAAAAAGAAATCAAAGCTTCAGTGTAACTTTCATTTGGGTGAAGGTAAACAAAGAAGTCCAGCCGTAAATCCTGACTGGTGGCTGACACAAGACGAGGGTTTATGGAATCCTTCTAGAAAGAAGCACCAAGAGACTGGGGATTAACATCACATGACAAGGAAGCCCAGGTGTCTCCGATAGCATCCGTGTCTCAGCTGAGAGGCAGGACACTGCTCCTCCAGGGCAAGACAAGGGGCAAGCCCTGCCTGGATATCTGCTCCCCACCACGTGTGACCAACCACCGGGAGGGTAATGATAAAAATAAATGACGGGCAACCTTCTTGGTGGATCGCAGGGGGCTTAGCGGAGTCTGGTGATGAAGATGGCGGTCTCAAAGGATGAAGTGATATCTGCATAATAAACCCCAGGACAGGAACTGTGTACAAGCAAGGCAGAGGTTGGAGGCAGGCTCCCTATGTTTGCCTAGTGTTATACAACATGAAAGCCAAGAGCAAGAAATCGAAGCCTTGTGAAAGGGTTGGAGGTGCTTCAGTTTGAGGCCACACGTTTCTTAGCTCCTGTGTTATGAAATTAGGGTGAGACCCAGAAGACAGTGGCCAAAGCTAGCATGGCCCACGGTGCCCACAGAATCGTCCCCCATACCTTCTGTTCTCCAGTCATGACCACACTGCTGGCATCTTCATTCCTCCAAGGCAAGGCTAAGTACAACAAGAGAATGCCCTGCCAGCACAAATCATCCTAAGAGATGCTTTCCCCTCTGGCACCCTGTGCTGTGTTTGCCCAGCAGCCACATCCTGTTCTGCCCTAAACCTTGGAGCAGACTTCCCACAGGTTAATTCAAATTCTCCAAGATTAAAACCAAGCTGGCATTCAGGGAGCTCTTGGGAGTCTTCGGGGCTCACCTAGGAGGAAGTTGGAAATCGTTATCACTAATGCCGGTACTTTTGCAATTGGGGAGAAGTCAGGTCATTGGTATGACAATCAATCAAACACACCTGTGTTGTTCCCACAGATTAGCCACTGATTGCTAACAAAGTTCCTCACTTCCTTTATACTGATTTTTTGCAGCAATAGAAATAAACCATTCCAGAGGCCATGCCCATCTCATTCTGGGAACCTATAAATACCAAGCTACTTACCTCATTGAGAAGAACCCAGCAAAATGGAGATATCCACGTTCATCATTGAACTGTGTCTTTTATGGGGTCAAGTTCTACCTACAGGTATTATGTCTAATTATTATCTTCACTAATTTCACTCCTGCAAACCCAAATCATGGCAAATCATATTTATTTGTTTTGTGGTGCTAGATTTTTCATCTCAAGGGGAGTTTTGTATCAAGGAGGAACAGCTTTTTGCGATCATTGTGATTGTTTGCAAGTATTTAAAAGGAATGTTTTCTTTTCTTTTCTTTTTTTCCAGCTGAGAAATTCAAATAGTTGTAATCAGAACAAGCCAATCATGATGCCAGCGTTGCAGTAAATCATTAGAGTAATGAAATGATTCCGTGCAGTTAAGAAACTGTTTGCATTATTAAGAGGTGCTAAAACTTGGCCGTAATCGGTCAAGTGCACAGCCTGTGTACCATGGCAATGAGCAGAAAAGACTCCGCCTGTAAATGCTCGTTGGGTGATTTCTCTCTGCAGGGTGCATCTGGCTTGAGAACTAATATTTACCGAGCAAAATCAGGTCAAGAAACAGAGCAAACAAGAAAGTTAGTATTCCAAGTTTGTATCTGTCACTCACTGCCTTAGACAATTGGCTTGGAGCTGAGTGACTTAACTATGTTTGTGTGTTCTTTGAGGGTCAAGTGATAAAGTAAAATTACATGAAAGAGCCTTAGGTACCTCCGTGACCATTGAACTCCATGTCGTTTTACCGGGACCCCCAGTGGACAAGATGATTTTGGATATTAATATTTTATCCATTATATTGATGACAAACATCTTCCCTGTTTGTTGTTTGCCTTTTAATTTTGATTTTTTTTGGTTGCACAAATATTTAAAATTTTATGTAATTAAATTTATTGCTGTTGACCTTTGCGATTTCTTCTCCTAATTTAAAATCTAGAAATGCCTTATGGAAATCAGATGAATGTTTAACCACTTTCTTGTTCTTGTGGGGTTTTTTTTTAACATTCAGTTCTTTAGCTCTGGAAATCGTTTTGCTTTCTTGTGAAGGAGGCCTGCTGGTATAGTGGTTAAGAGCTCAGCTGCTAACCAAAAGGTTGGAAGTTTGAATCCACCAGCCACTCCTTGGAAACCCTATAGGGCAGTTCTACTCCATCTACTGGATCAATATGGGTCTGACTTGGGTTTGGTTTTGGTTGTTTTTGGTGTGAAGTAAAGGTCTAAATTAATTATTTTTGTATATTTTACTTTTTGTAGCTTTATAATATGTTTAATGTTTTGGAACTAATAATGGTTTTTGAATGCCAGCTACATGGCAAACACTGTACTAAGTACTTGATACATTTTTTTCTGATTTTGTTTTTACAATCACCCTGTGAGGTAGTTGATATAATCACCCTTTTATAGATGAGGGAACTAAGACCGAGTGAGATTAAATGACTTCCTGAGTTTAGAGAACAAATAAGCAGAAGAGCTAGAATTTGAACCCAGGACACCTGTCTGCCCAGTCCATAGGTAGAGATAGTCCCCCAGAATCCTCAGCCCCCTGTACTCTGATGGCTTACTTGTATATTTCACCCACTGAGGCAAATTCCCTACTGGCAGCGAAGGCTTTGTACAGTCTGGGATTCCCCCTGCCTGGTGGTGTCTGGCATCTGGAAGGTGCTCGGTAAGTGCTGAATGCATGGTTGCTGACCACTCTACTGAAATTGCTGTTATACATCCTTTGCATATGCTGCCAAAGAGTGGTTTTCAAACTGTAGCGTGCATCAGAATCCTGCGGGGGGGGGTCTGTTAAAACACACATTGCCGGCACCATCTCCAGAGTTCCTGATTCAGTACATCTGGATGAGGCCTAAGAATCTGCATTTTAATAAGTTCTTAGTCGCTGCCTGATGCTGCTGATCCATGGAAGCTGTTGCAGCCGCGACTAACTGTCGGGGCGGCGGAGACAAGAACCAGTTCCACAACTCTGACGGAGAAGTGGGGCCAGGAGGGTCACTCTGAGGAGTCGGCCCCCCGCTTCAGTCCCAGGAGTTTATTGTATAGTCAATACAGCAAGCAGTAAAGCAAGTAACAGAACAATGGGCTTTGAGTGCGGGCAAGGGAGAAGGAATTCAGGTAAACAAGCCAATCAGTAAAGGGACAATAGGTTTGGGAAAACACATCGTGACAAGTCTCAACATGTTGGGGACAAGTCTCAACATGTTGGGGACAAGTCTCAACATGCTGTGCAGCATAGAGGCCTGTGGGAGCTGCAGTTGTCAATAGTGCAGCCATGTTTAAATGGCATATATCCCCACAGGAACCCACTTTGAGAACTGCTGTTCTAGAAGAACCTTGTTTATATGGTTGGCTGGTTACTCAAAAATGTGTCTTTTTTCAAAGTGGAGAATCAGAAAATATGATACATATGCACCTTACAGTTTTATTTTAACTTGAAACATGAAATCAAGGATCCATTCCTCTCTGGGATCCTTCTGCCCTTCTCCCAAGCCTGGTGAATTGCTCCCTTTGAGGTTCCCACTCTTCCTCCACTCTGTGTCCCTATGAGGCTCGAACCGCATCATCTGTCACCAAGTCTGTCTACCAAGCCGCCTATGTGCCTGGAAAGACTGTGCCTTATCTCCGATGATGAACCCCCTCCTTTCTGCCCGACTTATAGTGCAGTGCCTGATGTGTGGGCAGAACGTATTCCATATTCCCAGAGTGAACGAATGAATGAATGAATGATAAGCACAGCTAACCCTTGGAAGTGAAGTGGGATGTAGCCCCCTCCCCTGCTCAGCTTGACTCTGGCTTTCAGAGGGTTAGGGCCTTTGCTCTTTGTATTTTCAGCAACAACAAGCAGAGACACTATTCTGCAGAGACACAGCAGCCAGTTGGTAACGTCCTCTGTCTTGTTGTCTAGAGCTGCCATAACAGAAATACCACAAGCGGGTGGCTTTAACAAACTGAAATGTATTTTCTCACAGTTTAGAAGGCTAGAGGTCCGCATCAGGGAAGGCTTTCTCTTTCTGTCGGCTCTGGGGGAAGGTCCTTGTCTTTTCACCTTGTCTACTGGTTCCTTGGAGATCTCCATGTGACTTGGCATCCACCTTCCCCCATCTCTCCTGTGTTTGATTGTTTAATCTTTTTTATATCTCCAAAGAGAGTGACTGAAGGTATGTCCTACACTAACCCTGTCTCATTAACACAACGAAGACAACCCATTCCCAAATGGGATTATAACCACAGGCAGAGAGGCTAGGATTTACAACACACATTTTGGGGGACATAATTCAATCTATAACACCCTCTAAATTCCGGGGCTAGTGGTTGGGTGCCCGAGACCACCCCCAGCATGTCCAGAGGGACTGCTGCAGAGAATCCTGCTGCGTTTCCATGTAGGACAGGAAGAACCTCCTCTGATGGGCTCCACCTGGGCACCGACACTCTTGTGGGTATGGGTGGCTGCCACTGGCCCTCTTCCTGAGGTTCTACCACTGAGCAGTTTGACTGGTCTCCATTCCAGCCTCTGCCCATCCACACCTCTTGCCTGAGACCCCATTCTCCCCCAGGTTGCCCACTGAGTGTCCAGAGGGTTAAAGCCAGTCACCAGAGCATCAGAGGCCCATGAGGACAGCAGCATCCAATGAGGCTCTCTGGATAGAACCACTTACTTTTTCTTTTCTTTTCTAGAATTTATAACAAGTCCTAGAATAAGAGTTAATACCTCTGCCTCAGTCAGTGCTACAAATGTTAACTGCTACTCAGTATCTCCTTCATTTTATGGTAGCCCCGTGTGCTAATACATGTGCCCGTTTGTGTAAGAGTGCAGATCATAAGTTGGGTCAGTAGTTTAAATGTTAAAAAAAATCAACAGAAGGCAGTTGCTCTTAAAATGGTTAAGAGCAACTATGTGAATCCAGCAGCCCTGGTGGCACAGTGGTTAAGAGCTCGGCTGCTAACCAAGAGGTCAACAGTTGGAAGCCACCCTATGGGGAAGTTCTACTGTGTCCTACAGTGTTGCTAGGAGTTAGAATCAACTCAATGACAATGGGTTTTGGATGTGAGTACAAATCCTGCCTCAATCACCTACTAGCCAGGTGACCTTGGGTGACCTTCTGAGCTTCAGTTGCCCCAACCTTTCTCCACAGGGTGTTGTGAGGATTAACTAAAGTGACACATGTAAAGCTCTTGGATGTGATTTAAGGCTCCCCAAGTTGAGAAATGTTCAAAAGCATTTGCCACGTGTAAGCTTTAAAAATCGACATGCTTGGATGTGTGAGGGAGGAGAGAGGTCCTGGGTGTGGAATTTTGAAGTGCAGGGGTTGCAAGCAGTACAGAAGCAGGTCTAGCTCACTTTTGCCACCTGGAATATTGCCCTGCTTTCTGAAGTGGGGCCTGTCTGGAGTAACTCTCACCCCAGCGCTGGGCTCACATTGGGCACTTCACGGGAAGAGGAAGGAGTGTGGGAGGAGCAGGACAAGCTCTTTGTAATGGTAACCCAACTTAAGAAATCAGGTCTGAGCTACCTGGAAGTGACTTCGCCATGAAAGTCTCCTCAGGATGCAAGCCTGGCAAACTACAGACGAGGCAGGAAAGCTTATCCTTTCAAGCTGAGACACTAAAACACGGGAGGGATCTGTTTCATTGGCAAGTCTTTCCAGGGTCCTGTTCATGATGAAAGGTCCCTGGGTGGTGTAAATGGTTTGTGCTCATCTACAACCTAAAGGTTGACAGTTCAATCCACCCAGTAGCACTGTTGAAGAAAGGCCTAGTGATGTGTTTGTAAAGATTACAGCCAAAAAAAGCCCCATGGAGCAGTTCTATTCTGTAACATAGGGTTGCCATGAGTTAGAATCAACTGGACAGCAATGGGTTTGGTTTGGCTTGTGGTACAGGGCCCTGAATCTCACAGGTTTGGCTTGAGGCTGGTGAATGGACGTGACCAGTGTCAGGGCAGGTTGGAGGTCCTGTACTGAGGCTCCTGGGGCACTGTGTGTGATGATGACGGGGACACCCACGATGCCAACATGGGCTGCAAGCAGCTTGGCTGTGGCTGGACCATTTCAGCCCCAGAAAATGCCTGGTTTGGTCAGGGCTCAGGACTCACTGTCCTGGATGATGTGAGCTGCACAGGCCACGAGTCCTACCTGTGGAGCTGTCCCCACAACAGCTGGCTCTCCCGTGACTGTGGCCATGAGGAAGATGCCAGCGTCATCTGCTCAGGTGGGACTAAAAGAAATCGCTCACATTGTTTAGCACATGGCACAGGGTGATAACGGTAACTGCGCCTGTACCTCTGTAAGCCTCAGTTTCTCCATCAGGAAAATGGAAATAATAGCAGTACCTTGAGCAAGTGATTTTATCTCTAAGTACCTCCGTTTACTTCTCTGTAAGACAAGGAAAAAGCCTGAGCATTATGGGTTACGGTGAGGACCAAGACCAAATGAGCTAACATAGGTGAAATGCTTAAGACAGTGGATAGTGTTAATTATCATAATCATCATCATAATTTTTATTTCTATAATGGCTAACTTTTGTTGCATGCTGACTATGTGCCCGTCACTATGATAAACGTTTCATCATTTAATTCTCCCAGTCACCCTATGAGGGGTAAGAAGCCTCAATAAATATTCATCTGTCTCTTTATGGGAAGGGAAAGGCATTTTCATTTCCCACTCTCTCTATCACACAAAATTACTTGACTTTTTGGATTAACTGACCAAGTAATAGCTAATCCGTGCTTTTAGTCATCTCATTCAGTTAGTTTGGAATTGGCAAATCAAATCAAAGCCCCCAACCTCAACTCCTCATGCCCATAAATATGTGCTAGATTATCTCAAATAAGGAAAAAATAAGAAGAAAAACAATGGCTTCTCTATTATTGCACCAGCCTATTTTGCTTTTCAACAATGACGAAAGACTAATTTTTACCTTAGCAAAATAAAGACAGTTCTGCAGAAGGGAATATGCAGAAGCAAATGCACAAGTGATTAAAGATTACTTCACTGAACTTAATTTTAAGAGAGATTGAGACCTTTTTTTTTTTAAATCATTTTAACATTTGCCTCGTACCTACTAGATACTCAAGAAATCTTTATCATGTTGAATTACATCTCAAAAGCAGATTAGCAATCCTCTGGAGATGTTTATCAACATGCTGTTGCCACATCTCCACTGTAAAGTCAACTGCATTCGTTCAAAGGTGGATTTCTTGGTCAGGATCCCTGTGAGTGAAAAGCACACTTCCGATTTTGCTTTTATTCCTTCATAGCTTCCCGATCAGATTTTCTCTCAATACCTGGTAGGTTCTTTACTTCGAAAAGAATATCCTGTATTGGTTTATCATTTATTTTTCACTCTATAAAGTTATTTATATCTTAAGAATAAACAGTATCCTAGAAACATTGCCTTAATGAATGGTATGAGGGCGTCTGTAGGTGGGGCAAATGGTTAACACGCTCGGCTACTAACCGAAAGGTTGGAGGTCCCAGTTTACCCAGATACCTCAGAAGAAAGGGCTGGTGATCTACTTCAGAAAAATCAGCCACTGAAAACCCCATGGAGCACAGTTCTACTCTAACACACGTGGGTTCACCGTAAGTTGACATTGACTCAACAACGGCAACTGGGAAAACTACCTGGAAGGGTGATTTCTGTCTCTTCTAGAAACACAAAAGAACAAGAAACAGCTCTTCAGGTACACATAAAAACGGACCATGTGGTGATATAGGTACATTCTTCTTCCACTGTATTTTGCCTTTGTCTCACACTTTAGTGCACATCAGAATCAACTGGGGTATTTGTTTAAATTCAGGAACGCAGGACACACCCGCCCCGCCCCTCAAAATTTTATTTTGGAGGGTCTGAATGGCAACTAGGAATCTACATTTTTAGATGAGGATGGTCTGTAGACCACACTTTGAGAAACCATACTGCATGGCCCTGAACGGAATTTTTTTGAAGTGTAACTATGGAACCATTACTTTGCTAAGAGTTTCCAAAGAAAATGGCAGGAGATATGTATATATATTTTCAGTGCTACCCATTTTTGCTTAATCTCAAGTGAATTTAAGTTTTTGATATTTTTCCAAATGGTTCTTGGCCACATCATAAGTCTGACATATTCATATTAAAGCTTTCCATAAATGGATTGCTAATGTTGAATTTTATACTGTTTTCAAAATGGCCTCAACATCCTTGCCATTTCATTTGGCAACGACAAGCCCTATCAGGACTATTCTAAGCAGGGAGAAATCACAGGGAACATGTTCCCCGCCTTCAGGGACTGACTTCTAATGGAGCGCTAGACATTCATCAGCTGATGGGAGAGGCACAATTACAACTGTGCCAAGTGCTGGCGGGGGGAGCTGCTGTTAGAGAAGCGTGATCAAGTCATTAGGGAGAGCAGCCCCAGAAGAGGGCGCAGCTGAGCTGAGGTCTGGAAAAAATGTAGGAGCTGGCCAGGCAGCAAGGGAAAGAAGGGTGTTGTTCTCTTACTGGCAGTTGCTATCAGGGACTTGAAAGGCACAAATACAAACACAGGTTGACTGTAGCCATCCTTGCCCCAGCAGGCATACTCCCTCCTCCTCGCTTAAAACCAAAACCAAACCAGTCGCAGTTGAGCGGACTCCGACTCATGGCAATCCCATGTGTGTCACAGTAGAACTGTGTTCCATAAGGTTTTCAGTGGCTGCTTTTTCAGAAGTAGGTCACCAGAACTTTCTTTCAAGGTGCATTTGGGTGGACTCGAATTGCCAACCTTTCGGTTAACAGCCAAGTGCATTAACCATTTGCACCACCCGGGGACTCCCCTCCCCACTTATGGTGTCTTGTCAGGGCAGTGCCCTGACAGGAGGCTATCTCTAGGTCTCATTTCCCAAACTGTCCTTCACACATTTCCTGAAACTCTGGGGAAAGGACTTGTGATCAAGGACATTTGGGTCGTGCCGCCTGCCATTGGTGGGAGAGCATCGTCTGTCTTTCGTGGCAAGTGGGTAAAGAGCAGGGGATGCACGGCTGCAGCCAGACTCTTGTTTGCCTTCCAAGTCCTCATCTAAACTGGGCTGGAGGTGGAGGCGGCAAGTCCACAGATGTGATCCATGAGTCAGTCTCTGGGGAGGTCATTCCTGGTCATGTCTTGAAGTGATACCCTAAGCAATGAGCAATCTCTACCTTGTGGCATCCTCCACCTCCGAGTCATCCCCTCACTCGGGCCACTGGCGTGGGAGTCAGTGAGGGCTCAGATAAGGCTCCCGTTCACAAGATCTTTAAACCCACTGAGAGAGATGGGTTTCTACCAGACTATATGGCAGAGTCATGAAGATCATGAAGATGACACAGGGCTGTTATACGTAAGGTTGTCATGAGTCAGAGCCGACTTGACGGCGACTAACAACAACAACAATACGGCAGAAAAGATAGTCCCCAAGACGATGAAATAACCTGTGAGCTGCTGGTAACTGGGCAGAGCTGGGACCGCTGTGATGGATGAAAGAGAAGCACTTACAGCCTTTTGAAAGATGAACACCAAGATGATGAAAAATTTCTTATCTTGGAAGAGTATCGTAACGTCAAAAGAAAGACAAGATGCGGTCTTAGTCAATGCCTCTGGGTGACTTCTCATACATAGAACACCTACGTTTGAGTGTTATGGAAAGTAGATTGGCATCAGTCACCTTCCTTGCATCAATAAGAATGGCAAGGAGTGGGTCAGTAGTAGCAGTGGCTGTGACAAGAAAGAGTACAGAATGAGAGTTAGCAGCATGGATGAAGGAGTTGGAGCCTGGGTGTCCTTGGGCTACTTTTATTATGCTGTGCCTTCATGTCTTTGTCTATAAGTGCAGATGACAGAGGTAGGGAGAGAATTAAATGAGACAATGCATATAACTAATGACACATAGTATTGTTTCCGACAAGCTATGAAGGCATAGTAAGTCTTCAACAAATGTTTGAAGAATGTTCCCGTTTCAGAGTGCTCTTGCAGTCCCCAAGCTATCTCCTTAGGCCTCTCTTCCAGAATAAGCGGAGTGGCCCACCTGGTAGATATGGACTGGTCTAATGATATCTTGCTTGGTTTTATGCTCAAGCTCTTCTTCAGTTTCTTTTACCCACTAGAGCAATAAATACATAATTGGTACATCTCTTTGTACCAAGTTGGGGATTGGGGCAAAGGCTAAGTCCAGATGGAAAGGTACCAGTTTGCTTTGAAAGTGTCTAGGTTTTTGGAGGAAAATCTTGAGAGATCTCTATATGGCTTCTCTTGGTTGGGTCCTGTCTCCATTTCCTGAGGGAAAACAAAGGCAAGTGAAAGCTTCTCTCTCGAGGTGATTTACCACCCTTTCCAAAATGGCAGGTAGATCACCTACACCTATGTGGCTGATTGTTGAAAGAATACAAGGCAATTTCAATCATCTGTGCAAAAGGGTCTATTCAATATTTTGTTCAGTGCTATTGATGAGCATTGTCAAGATTTTGAAACTCAGAGCTTCTGAATTAGATCCTGATCCTGGCCTTGACCACCAGGTGACTAAGCAAGATGCCTGGAGCCTGGGAATGGGAATTGTATGGTGTCAGCTGGACTGGGTTTGAATAACAGGCTCTCTCAGGCATGTCTGTCTGCTTGTCCTTGAACGTGGGAGCAGGGATGGTATGTCAGAAATGAGGTGAGGAGCTTCTGGTGCAGACATGTCTTATGTTTGCAGTCTCTGTTGAAAGAATGTTCTGACTCCCTGTGCCTATTACAAATTGTTTCTTCATTTTCAGGGGTGTGTAGCCCTCAAAAACATCAAGCAGGGTGGTTGGGAGAGTACACTGGGGACCCACATTCACTATGTGGAGACAGGTGGTGGAGGTCTCTGACTTACATAGCAAGTCCCCTCACTGACACTCTGAAAGAATTTTCTTTGAGAAATTCAAATTTCTGAGCCCTGACTGTTGCTCCTGGCAGAAGCTTTGCATTTAAAAAGAATCTGAGATGTTTTATCAAATGCCTTAGTCTTTCGTATACCTGGAAGGAAAAAGACAAAATTGAAAATAATTTTACCAAAATTTTAATGAGAATTTAAACAAAGCAAACCTCTTTGTATCAAGTAAATCTGAGGGCATAAGCACCACAAAAAATGAGAGAGTACCATCAACTATCACACGTCCTTTTAACAAAACGAAATGGGCCAGGTTCTTGCCATAAAATATTACAAGAGGAAATCCTCCCCATTGGAAGACTAAGAGACTGAGAGTACCGTATTTTCTTTTTGTTCTTAGAATGATATTCCTGACTCTTTGACTCTTGAATTTGAGAAAATTCATCTAGGAGATCATCATCTGAAGACTCATAGTATGAGATTCCAATTGTACAGTCAATTTCACCATCATTGTTAGAATCCAGAATGTTGCTCTCGGCCTCTTTGCGTGTTCTGATTCATCTAACTGTTGTGAAATATCTTCCTTTGTCATTTTTTTTCCTTGTCATCATGGGGGAAAAATAAGAAAATTTGAATTCTTAACTGCATTTAGTGAAAGCTAAAGGCAGACAACAAAGACAGTGTCTCTAGTCTTTTCTGGTACCTTCTTGAAGGACGATGCCATACTTCAGGCACTGCAATACGAAAACTGAAGGATGATGGTTTATTTCAGGATTTCATCTTTCTTTTAGGTAATTCCACCCTTCTTCCATTTTCTTCTTCTTCTTATAAGTATTTTCTTTTTTTTAAAGAATAGTTAGTAATTGATGAATAATGATGAAATAATCCTACAGGTGATGAACTAGAAAACGTTTCAAGATCTAGGAAAAATAAAACCACCAAGAGCTCATAATATATCTTGGATTTATAAGAGGATCCAATGAATTCATATTGTGAATTACAAGACTGAATGAGTATTACTCTATTTTTAAAAAAAAAAGCACAAGTGTTCTCTCTGCTCTTTGCAAGGTCTCTAAAAATATGTAAAAGTCATGAAATATCAAACCTTAAAGATTATTAGACCTCTCAGAAAAGGAACTCAAAAAGTAAAATTGAGTCCAGTGGGCCCTGATGGCATAGTGAGGGTTAACCTGAAGTGAGGATGATGTGGAGAGCTTTTGCCTGGCCTCACTGATGATAATAATACTTACCTCATGATGATAGCACTTATTACGTGCTTTGAGAAAAAAAAAAAGACAGTCGTCATGGAGCCAGTTCTGACTCATGGCCACCACATGTGTTTCAGAGTAGAACTGCTCCATAGGGTTTTCATGGCTGCGACCTTTGGGAAGCAGATCTCCAGGCCTGTCTTCTGAAGCGCCTTTGGGTGGGTTTGAACCACCAACCTTTCAAGCACTTAACAGTTTGTGCCACCCAGAGACATCTGCTATATGCATTAGGTGAGAGCTTATTATGTTTCACCCAATATTCTATTTTCTAATATATATTCACTCATTTGGTCAGAATCGACTAGATGGCAACTGTTTCTTTTAAATGCACACAGTAAGTGCTATTATCATGAAATCTTCCCAACCACACTTTGAGGTAAGTATTATTATTACCTCCATTTTGCAGATGAGAAGACTGAGTCACAGGTAACTTGTCAATAGTTATATGTCTAAAGCCACATGGCTGGTAAATGGCAGGGCAGAGATTTGAACCCAGGACGGGTGCCCTGGGGCCCATGTTCTTTTTGCCATCTCCTTGCCTATGATTTCTACTAAATGCACCCGTCTTCCACGTTTTTCGCAGTGAGAGTGTCCAGAACTTCGCATTCAAGTTTGATACGTCAGGGTCATTCATGAGCGCACTTAGGGCATCTGACCCTACCATTGAGCCCCTGGCTCTGTTCAGGCCAGTCTCTCCCCTGCCAGGACGTGTCCCAAGAGTCCAGAAATGGCCTGGAGCAGCTCTCCGAGTGACCAACACCCAGAAAAGATTGTGTGGGTGAGGTACCCATTAGACCTGAAAACGTTCATCTAGAACTGGGCCTGGACTGGAGAGGTGGAAGGCTCTGCGGTATGTGAGGTCTTCCAGGGGGGAAGACAGAGAGAGAAGAGGACAAAGACAGCATGGGGGAACACTGCTATTAAAGGTCCTGCGGGGAGAAGAGTTGATAAAGGAGAGGGCGTCTGTGTGGTCAGGGGAAGAAGGGCAACAGGGAATGATGGGAGAGGAAGGCCAAGGAGGAGAGCATGTGCACTGTGCGCATCCCGCTGTGTCCCGGGCAGACTTGCCACTGAAGCTAGTGGATGGAGGGAGCTGGTGTCAGGGCCGCACAGAGGTCCCGTACCAAGGCTAATGGGGCACCGTGTGTGACGACAGCTGGGACATCCAGGATGCAGGCGTCATCTTTCGGCAGCTCTACTGTGGCCACGCAGTGTTGGCCCTGGGCTGGGCCCACTTTGGTGAAGGCTCAGGGAATATTCTCTTGGGTGATGTGTACTGCTCAGGATGGGAGCCCTCCCTGTTGAGCTGCCCCCACAACAGGTGGTACCACAACGAATGTGGCCACAAGGAAGACACTGGAGTCTTGTGCTCAGGTAGTGCCAATGCCACCTTGTGCTGTCACCTGTGCAATCTGAGGACGGTGGTTTCTGTGGTTGTCAATGTCACGTTACATTTGTGTGGTGCTTTGCAGTAAACAGGGTCTCATCTGATGTTATACAGCAGGCATGACTGTCCCTTTTTACGGGCAAAGGGATTGGGGCTCAGAGAGTTACAGCAACGTGCCTGCAGTCACAAAGCTGGTAACTGGGGGAGGCAGGTTTACCGAGTCCCGCTTCAGAGTCTGCTGATGGACTCCATTACTGGCTTGTTCCCAGGAGCAGCATCACAACCAGCCATGGCCAGGGATGACCAGGTATCTTCCTAAGTGGTGGTTTCCCCTCCTTTGAAGGCCGGGAGCACAATGGGCTTCAGTATTAAGTCCTTAATACTTGAATCTATGCCAAAATCAAACCGAGGAGTAACCAATATGTTCTCTTTGCTGTGGACTCAGTGATAAAAGTTACCTACACCCTCAGTGGAAGAGAGAAATTCTTCCTGACCCTGATGCTGACCCAGTGAATCCCAACACCGCGTTTCTCGTGGGTGCACACAGTGCTCACACGTGTCCGAGCCCCCAAAACCAAACCTGTTGCCATCAAGTTGATCTCGATTCATAGCAATCTGAGAGGACAGAGTAGAACTGCCCCACAGGGCTTCCTAGGCTGTAATCTTTACAAAGGCAGACTGCCACATCTTTTTCTCAAGGAGCAGACGGTGAGTTCAAACCAACGACGTTTTGGTTAGCAGTCGAGCACTTAAACACTGAGCCACCAGGGCTCCTTTCAGCCCCGAGGGGTCTTTCTAAAAAATTGTTGTTTGTGTTTTGTGGTAAACGTATATGTAACAAAACATTTGCCCTTTCAACATTCTTCACACATGCAGTTCAAGGACATTAATTTTGTTTAGCACGCTGTTCAAGCACCACCATTATCTGTTTCCAAATTTTTCCATCCCCACCAAGGGGTATTTTAATCCACAGAGAAACCTCTGAGGATATGGGCCATCGTGTGCCCCCAAAGGGCAGTTTCTTGCTCGATCGCCCATCTTTAGAGTCCCCTCTGGCGTTTGTGGCTGGCGTGCAGACATGTCACTGTGCACAGGCGGTGACGGTGGGAATCCATCCCCACATAAGAAAGGGCACCCCGAGAGAGTGTGGACCTGTAAGTGGTCCCTCTGTGAGCAGGTTTAATTGAGCATTTTGCAATGCCTCTCTGGAAGCTGCCTTCTTTCTGCCTTCCTCTCAGCAATATATCTCAGTGATGGCAAACATTCGCACTTGAGGGAGTGTTTGAGCTATAATTCCAAAAAAAAAAAAAAAAAAAAAAAAACCCAAACCCATTGCCCTTGAGTTGATTCCAACTCACAGTGACTTTATAGAACAGAGTAGACAGTCTCACAGAGTTTCTAAGGAGCGGCTGGTGGATTCGAACTGCCAACCTTTTGGTTAGCAGCCAAGCTTTTAACCACTGCCCCACCAGGACTCCATTTGAGCTTTAGAAGCAGGCAGATGCCATTTGTAGTCAAATCTTGTGAATAGGGTGGGGCTGGTAATCAACTGGATGATTTGTTTTGATGGAGACTTAGGAAGCAGAGGAAGTGGGAGAAGAATAAGAGCACGAAGACCGGTCATGGAACACCACGCACTGAATTAGGGTCAGTAAGGTGGCCTAGAGATAGGTTGTCTGTTCCACAAGCAAAACATGGCCATTTAGCAATGGAAGGAACTTCAGGGTCTCTGCATCAAGCCCTTCGTTTCAGAGCTGAGGAAGCAGAGGGCCAGAGATGGGGTGACTTCTCCAGGATCATGTAGCTAGTAAGTAGCTGAGACTTGGTCTCCCGTTGCCTGGCTCAGGGTACTTTCTGTTTGCAACACTGGTAAGGGCCAACATTGAGTCACCTTTTCCTTTTTCCACCCTGTAGCTGTGTTGTTTTCTACAGAGGAGCTCCTATCTGCAACAACTAAAATGACTTTGGTTACGTGAGCTCATTACTCACTACACAGGTTCATCTCTAATACAGAAGAGGTGCAGAGGGTATAAGAGAAGAGGGTACTCACCTGCTAGGGGGGCTCTTCCGAACAAAGCCCCAGGCCTGAACAAGCATCTCTTCCTTGGTCTGTGTCCCTGAGATTGGGGAGGGATCAACCTGGAGTGATGTCTCCAAGGAGATTCAGGATGAAGCCTGGCATCCTGCCTCCAGGGGGCTCCTGTTGCCTAGACTCAGTGCCCATTCCTGGAGTCCTCACCTACGCATGCTGACTCCTGGCCAGGATAGGGTGTTGGGTCATGAGCTTCAGGTCCTCGACAAGCAGGTGTAAACCTGCTGGGGCAGCATTCTTGCTCATGCGCTTTCTCTGAGCCCATTATCAGGCCACCCTGGTTCATTCTTAACATAGAAAAATCATGATCCTTCAGCCTGTGGGCATCAGAGGCCCTGTGTGTCCCCCTGGGGCATCTCCAGCGAGAGACCTGGGAGGTACAGTCAACACAGCCCAAGGTTCCGCAGCCTGGGCTTTGGGAAAGGAAGTCACTGCCCATTTCCCATGGAAAGCTGTGCTCTAGACTGAGACCAGGGACAGCCTCCACACCAAGGACCCTGTCCGGCTCAGGGGTCAGTGGGGGATCCTGATGGTACATGCATCAGTCATTTCTGTTCCTTAAGCCCTATGCTTTCCTGATCTCAGGCCCATGGGGTGATGCCTGACTTTCCCTTCTCTTTCTCTTCCCTACAGTTAAGGACACAGATGCCAGTATAGCTGAGGGCAAGACTGACATTATTCTAACTTAGCCATATCCTTTCCTCAAATTCCTGCTTCTCTTATTCTCAGCAGCTTCAAGAGGAGAACATGTTCTCTGTAGTAATTCCCCCCTGGGAACCCTGCTATGTGTTAGGAGCAGTAGCTGGGCCCTGACGAGTGTAGTACAACTGGCCAAGCCAGGGATGGGGGTGAGGGGTGGAGGAGATTGTCTGATCTGGACTGCAGCTCAGGACTGTAGACAGGGCTTACCTGGAGCTGCTCCTGTCAGGACCTCTAGTGAAGGGGGTGGGGGGTGTCATACCCCTAGATACAAAGAGACCTCATGCAGAAGCCCAGTAGCTAACTCAGACAGAGGCTGAATGTTCTGGTTGAGGTAGGTAGGAGTAGCAATGAGATCATCTCCTCTCCAAGTTGCGGCACCAAGGAGGGCACTGGGCAAACATCAGAGCTCCTTGGAGCAGTTTGAAACCATGGATTTAAAGCCCGTATCTAACTTAATAGGCAAACACTAGTTGCATTTCCACTAAGATCAGAAACAAGTTAAGTATGCCCTCCATCCCCACTGCTATTAACATTGTATTGGCAATACTAGCCAATGCAATGAAACAAGAGAAATCAATTAGAGACATAAAAACTGGAAACAAAATTATTTTTGCCTGCTTCCCCTGGAGTCCTGCATGGGTCACAAATGGGCAGTTCAGAATTAGGGTCATTAGGTTGTTACATTGATATTTCCCCCAAAAGATAGCCTTTTAGAGTGGAAGGAACTCAAGGCTAGATAGCTTTCTTAACTTTTCCAAAGTCACACAACAGGACAAAATCCAAATTAGAGATGCATCTTCTTAGCAGATTTCACATTACTTCCAGCCCTTGGTCCTTCTCAGAGGAGACCTAACTTTGTATTTTATGTCTTTTTTCCTCCTCTCTACCATGTTATGTGCAGAGCCCCCGATTGTGTACACCGTGGACATCGAGACTGCCGCTGTAACTGGTAATGAGTCATTCTTTATGGGCCCCTCTCTGCAGGCAATGAGGCCAAGTATATCCAAGGGTTTTATTCTTATTCAGGAAAACATTCAGAGGCTGGGATGGGGGGAGTGATGTGAACAAATAGTATAGAGGGAGAGTCGCTTTGAACCTGAGCGCCTGGCTTGAGCGGGAGCCTCCTTCATTGTCCACGTCCCTGTGGGTGGGGAGGAGTCAGTTAAAATGTAGAGTCTCCAAGAGCCTGTGTGTTTTGGGGCAGAGACTAGTGGGATCAGTCTCCAACCCTCAGCGCCAGTTCCCCATCTCCAGAGCTTGGTACTGACCTCAGCCATCATGGCCCCATGGACCTTGGCAGTAGGGCTGGGAGGATCAGGTGCAAAATGAGCAACAAGCCAATCCCAGAGCCCCAGGTGTATGTTAGTGCTCATCTAGGGTCATCCTTTTCAGTATGGGGCAGTCACAAGCTTCTGTCTAAGGAGGTCAGCCTCTGCCCAGGGTTTGCTCAGAGAAGTGTCATGTGGATGGAATCTAGGCTCCCTGCAGCAACCTAGGAGGTACCAGCCCTACCTCCCAGAGCTCTAGAGGCTTGGGTTTGGCGGGCGAGTCACTGCCCTTTTCACCATGAAGAGCTCTAACCTTAAGATGTATTAAAGCCCAACACAGAGATATTCTCAAGAATCTTTGCCCACTGGGCAATCAACTGGACACCCTGTAAGCTCTAAGATCTTGTCCCTAAGTAGGAACTTACAAGATAAATTCTTTTCTTTTTTAATTGTACTTCAAATGAAGGTCTACAGAACAAATAGTTTCTCATAAAACAGTAGTACATGTATTGTTTTATGACATTGGTTAACAACCCCATGACATGTCAACCCTCTCCCTTCTCAACATTTTTTTCTTTTTTTTTTGGTGAAAATATAGATAGCCAAAGACACACTGTTTCAAAAATTTCTACATGCACAGTTCAGTGACATCGACCACACTCTTCCAATTGTGCTGCTATTCTCACTTTATATGAAGGTTTACAGAACAAAATAGTTTCTCATTAAACAGTTAGTACACACGTTGCCCTGTGACAATGGTTAACCACCTCACAACACATCAACACTATCCTTATGCAACCTTGGGCTCCCTATCACCAGCTTTCCTGTCTCCCCCTGCCTTCTAGTCCTTGTCCCTGGACTGCTGTGCCCCATCAGTCCCATTTTGTTTTATGGGGCTGTCCACTCCCCAGCTGAATGGTGAACATCAGAACTGACTTCACCACTGAGCTGAAAGGGTGTCTGGGGGCCATACTCTCAGGGTTTCTCCAGTCTCCTTTAGGCCAGTATATGTGGTCTTTTTTTTGTGAGTTAGAATTTTGTTCTACATCCTTCTCCAGCTCTGTCTAGAACCCCCTATTGTGATCCTGGTCACAGCAGTCAGTGGTGGCAGCTGGACACCATCTAGCTGTACTGGACTCAGTCTGGTGGAGGCCTTGGCAGCTGTGGTCCATTAGTCCTTCTGACTAATCTTTCCCTTGTATCCTGTTCTCTTCACACTCCCTTCCTCCTGAAGGGATGAGACCAGTGGAGTATCTTAGATGGCTTCTCACAGGCTTTTATGACCCCAGACACTACTCACCAAGGTAAAATGTAGAACATTGCCTTTATAAACTGTGTTATGCCAGTTGAGCTAGATGTTCCCTGAGACCATGGTCCCCACAGCCCTCCGCCCAGCAATTCAATCCCTCAGGGAGTTTAGATGTGTCTATGGAGCTTCCATGGCGTTTCCTTGTACAAGCTGTGCTGGTTTCCCCAGTATTGTGTACTGTCTCACCCTTCACCCAAGATACCACTTATCTATTGCCTATTTAGTATTCCCCCCGCCCCATCCCTGGTAACCAACAAAGATTGTTACTTTTTGTGTGCGAACTTTTTCATGGGTTTTTACAATAGAGGTCTCATACAATATTTGTCCTTTTGTGATTGACTTAATTCACTCAGCATAATGTCCTCCAGTTTCATCTATGTTATGAGATGCTTCACAGATTCATTGTTGTTCTTTCTCATTGCATAGAACTCCACTGTGTGTATGTACCATAGTTTCTTTATCCATTCATCTGTTGATGGGCTCTAGCTTGTTTCCATATTTTTGCTATTGTGAACAGTGCTGCCATGAACATGGGCGTGCATATGTCTATTCGAGTGACGACTCTTATTTCTCTAGGATATAATCCTAGGAGTGGGATTGCTGGATCGAATGGTATGTCTATTTCTAGCTTTCTGAGGAAGCGCGATATCATTTTCCAAAATGGTTGTAACATTTTGCATTCCCACCAGCAGTGCATAAGATTTCCGATCTCCCCGCAGCCCCTCAAACATTTGCTGTTTCCAGTGTTTTTGATTCGTGCCGGTAATGCTGGGGTGAGACGGTATCTCATTGTGGTTTTAATTTGCATTTCTCTAATGGCTAGTGATTGTGAGCATTTCCTCACGTGTCTGTTGGCGGCTTGAATGTCTTCTTTGGTGAAGTGTCTGTACAAGATAAATTCTTGCACCATCTTCTAGGGACAGAATCTGGTTTGGCTCTGAGACTGGAGAATGGAGATGACAGGTGTCAGGGCCGCGTGGAGGTCCTGCACCGAGACTCCTGAGGCACCGTGTGTGATGACGGCTGGGACACCAATGATGCCAATGCGGTCTGCAGGCAGCTTGGTTGTGGCTGGGCTGTATCAGCTCCAACTAATGCCTGGTTCGGTCAGGGCTCAGGACAGACGGTCCTGGACGATGTGAGCTGCTCAGGACACGAGTCCTAGCTATAGAGCTGCCACCACAGCGGTTGGCTCCTCCCTATGTGTAGACACAGTGAGGATGCTGGTGTCATCTGCTCAGGTGGGCGTCAGGATCACTCAAGCACCTTCTGGGGTTGGTACTACTCATAGAAGTCACACTTTCTCTCCCAGGGCCCCCAACTGGAGCTCCCACTATGCATGCTGTGGCTCTCACTTTCCCAGGTCATCTGGTGCACAGGGGCCATGTCTGGTCACCTAGTGGGAGAAACAACACGACCTGCTCCATCACCCATGCTGCCAACTCTGCCCCAATGTTTGCTTGGGGGTGAGGCTGGAAAATTGCTTACACAAGGCCAAGCTCACTGAGGGCAGAAACAATACGCCCTTTCCTTAGGTACAGCATCATCCGCTCATTGCAAACCGCCGTTTAACGTGGTGAGACCTTCTCACAGGCAGAGGATATGGATGGTAAATTCACCACCCCTCCTCCTCAGTGTGTAAATTTATTTGTGTCAAGCCATTAGGTGTCTCAGAGAGGAGGAATCAAGAGTATATAAAACATGCATGACGTGCAGTGAGCCACAGTAGGGAAGGGAGCTAAGGGGTATAAGGAATGGTAGGTAGGTAGGAAAGGTTTGCTAAAGAGACAGCGATGGCAGTGGGAACTGGGGCATAATCCCATCGACAAACTCTGGGAATCAATGTACAATCTCAGAGTCATGGCACCTGGAGGGTTGGGTAATGGGTCTTCTTACTGACTGTTGGGTTGATTGTTGGCCGATCCTGTGGCGTGTGATGTCATGGCAATTCTGGCCTGTTCCACTCGGGACAGTGGCTTCTATAATCTGGTCAGAAAGCCCCCAGGTAAACAATATCAGCGCTGGCATGGGACAGATGCATGAACAACTGCCTGAAATAACAGCAGACTCATGAGGGCCCCTGCAGGGTCCACATGTTGGCACATGAACAGCATCAGCTGAGGGTGTAAATATGCTGAGTATCCTCAGGCATTGGTTTCAGTCAGTAAAAAGCGAGGCAGTATATCTGACTCTTCATCTCTTTCTCACAGCTGTGACAAACTCCTCCACACCCTGGCCAGGTGAGTCCACAGCATCCTTACAAGGATTTTCCTTCCCTACCTGCCCCCTCACCCCTCCTCCTTTCATTTGACCCTCTTTTCTCCAAGAAACACGGAACATCTTGTTTTCTTCACTCTCTGTTCCTGAGCCTCCAGTAGGCTTCTTAACTAGACGTTGAGATGCACAGAGTCCTGTCCTCCTGTCAGTCTGGCTGTGTTTTCATTAAACCCCTTTGATACTGCCCAC